ATGGAGGGAGGCGGAGGAAGTGGGATGAGGAACGGGCGGAGGGGGGCGGAGGAACCGATGGAAAAGCAGCAGCACCGACGGAGGAGGAGAGGGGCCAAGTCCCAGGTCTGGGCTCGGAGCAGACGCCCGCCGCCGCTTCGCGACGCCAGGGGGATCAGGGCTCGCAAGCGCTCTCCCGCCGCAGCTCGGGTCTCAGGAGGTTCGGGAGGAGGAGGAGGAGGAGGAGAAGGAGGATAAGGATGAGGATGATGATGAGGAGGAGGAGGATGAGGAGGACGAGGAGGAGGAGGACTCGGGGCTCAAGGTGCGGCGTGGCCCTGACATGGGGCCCACCACTTCCAAGACAACAAAAAAGGCAGGACGCGAAGCGGGATCGGCGCGAGCTAGGGCACACGCTCGACGGTGCAAACAACTTCGCCTTTCCGAGCCGTGGGAGCTGGGAACGAAAAGGGACTGGGGGCAGCGGCATGTACGCGGACGAGGGGGGGCCAGGAGACGTATTGAACGACTAAGACGGGGCCATGACGTCGGGGAGACATCAGGGCCCCAGCCATGATATCCGCCACTGTAGCCATGACCCCCCTCTTGTCTTGGCCGCCCCCGAAAATGGAACGCACCCGAGGGCCCGGGAAGACCGACGGGGAGGGCTCCACCGAAGCTGGGCCAGCGCGCATCTGCAACCGCTTGCCAACCCTACGGTCGGGAACTTCTGGATAGCGTGCCGCTCCGCCGGGCCTGGCCCACACAGCTTCGGCGCGACACGCCATCCGCTTCCTGGTCCCCAGGCGTCAGCGCCCCGATCTTTTCCGCGCCTCTCGCCCCGCGGAGCGGAGCGACAGGCCATCCGCTCGCAGGGCACAGCGTGTCGCCGGGGCCGCCGCCCCGACGCGCTACCCCACAGTTCCTGACCGTACCCCTGCGGGTCCGGCCAAAGCTGGGGTGTGGGACAGCTCCGTGGGGGGTTCAGACGGATGCGGGCACCCTGCAAAGTTCTGAGCCCCGGCCCATGCTTGAAAATCTGGCCTGCAGGGGAGGGATTCACGTGCAGTTGCCCAGCGTAGGCATGGGCACATGAAATACGAGACAGCGTGATCCACCGCCGCTTTGATATGGAAAATTCCCCCCCTCTTCCTCTGGAGCCCGGGGTTGCTCCCCCCCGCTTCGAAAATCCTCCCCCCCATGCTGAACCCCCCCCTTCCCCCCGGCAAACCGCCCCTGCTAACCCCTCCCCCCCCCCTCTGGAAAACTGGGCGGGTCACTACAGGTTCGACCCCCCCCTCTCCAGAAAACCGGGGGTGGTCACTACCGGTTCGAACCCTCCCCCCCTCGAAAACAGGGGAGGGTCACGACCGGGTCGAACCCCACACCCCTCTCACCGCCGGCAAACGACTCACGGGTCTCTACCACCGTCCGCACCACATCCCCTACTGCTGTCCCCAGCGCCACTGTCCCCACTGTCCCCACCACCATCCCCACTGTCCCCACCAAGGCACCATCCCCACTGTCGCAGTGTCCCCACTGTCCCCACCACTGTTCCCACCACGGTCCCACTCTCCCCACTTTCCCCAGGGTCCCTACCACTGTCCCAGTCCCCACTGTCCCCACTGTCCCACTGTCCCACTGTCCCCGCCGCTGTCCCACTGAGCTGTCCCACTGTTCCCACCACTGTCCCCACTGTCCCCACCACTGTCCCCACTGTACCTCTGTCCCATTGTCCCACTATAGTCCTCGCCACCGCCCTCATCACTGTCCCCACCACCACTGTCCCCACCACTGTTCCACTGTCCCCACCACATTCTGTCTCCACACCACTGTCCCCACCACCACCGTCCCCACCACTGTCCCACAGTTCCCACCTCTGTCCCACTGTCCCCACTGTTCCCACCATTGTTCCCGCTGTCCCCGCAAGTGCCCCCACCAGCGTTTCACTGCCCCCACTCCCCCCAGCATTGTCCCACCACGGTCCCCCTCTCCCCACTTTCCCCACGGTCTCCACCACTGTCCCGCTGCCCCCACTGTTCCCACCACTGTCCCACCGCCCCCACTGTCCCCGCCGCTGTCCCACTGTGCTGTCCCACCGTCCCCGCTGTCCCCACCACTGTACCACTGTCCCCACTGTCCCCACCACTCTCCCAACTCTACTACTGTCCCACCACCGTCCTCACCGCCGCCTTCACAACTGTCCACACCACCACCGTCCCCACCACTGTCCCACTGTCCCCACCACTGTCCCGCTGTACCCTCACCACTGTCCCCACCACTACCGTCCCCACCACTGTCCCAGTATCCCCACCACTGCCCAACTGTCCCAAGGAGCGGGAATCGTTTGCCGGCGGCGAGGGGGGAGATTTCGAACTGGTAGTGACCCCCCCGGTTTTCGAGGGGGCGGGGGGTTCGAACTGGTAGTGACCTCACCTTTTTTCATGATGGACTTGGGGGTGGGGGGGTTCGAACCGGAAGTGACCCCCCCCCGGTTTTCGAGGGGGGGGGGGACGGGTTGGGAGACCCCAGTGCCTCCCTCCCCGGTTTTCCGCCAGCAGCGGTAGAACACGCCCTTTCAAATAACCCAAATCTGCATACACCCATCAGATATTTGAGCGCGGATTTCTTGGATCCGCGGATCCCCCTCTCTCAGTGCCGATCCAAGAAATCCGAGCGGAGCTCCGACAGTTTAGGTTTATGCCATGTCTTCTGCGGGGGCAGCGGGAGCCGGAAGGACCCCCCCCAGACGGGGCCCCAGGAGGAGACCCTTCAGATCAGCATGCATCCCACCCCCTCGTGGCCGCTGGTCCAGGCGTCGAGAGGAGGCTGAGGAGGAGGAGGAGGAGGAGGAGGAGGAGGAGGAGACGCCCGAGCGGTCCAGAGCGGTGCAGTACCCTATCCCTCCTTCCTCCTTCGCCGTCCAATGTTGTAGCATCGCTTGCATTACCGCGAAGAGGTATTCCGTTGCATCTGCGCTGCCGATGCATGCGCAAGTTTACGTATCAGTGCTGGTAACTGTTTGCAGGAGGAAGAATGCCCATCCGGGTATCTTGGGCTGTCTTGGGGCCATATGAGGGTCTGTGGCTGTGAGAGGCCCGACAAGCGAAGACGCGAAACATCTGAGAAGAACCTAAGGACATGTATGATGTTAGCCTCTCGAGGCCGTCCTGGGGGTCCTCTGGGAGCCCACCCCCTGGGCAATACTGGAAGCATCTTGAACCGTTTTGAGGCCGTGTTGGGCCACCTTTGCGCCGTCTTGGGCCTCTCGGAAGCGTCTTGGAGGCCATCTTGGACCATCTTGGGCCATGGCTTCTGCCGGCCGGTCTGGTGCGCCGGTTGCAGGCGCACTCCGGAGGGGTGCCCACCTGGCTCCCCCAGGGGAACACACAACGAGAACCCCTCCAGAAGGTTGGGGAACAAATGGGGGCTACGCTCGACACTATCCGCAGACCTTCGAATACTGTGGTCGAAGCTCGGAAGCGTAGCACCCCCCGCTTGTGTACAGGGGGGAACAAGGAGGAGGACATGGGTCCTGTGGGAAACGAGCCCTGGACTCGGGGGCTCTCCCCAGGGACCCGATTGTCATCGCGAGTCGTTCTGTTGATGGTCCCACGGCCCAGAGAGGGCCTCTGGAGATCGCGCAAGGTGGAGGAGGACCTCCGAATTCCTTCTCCTCCTCCTCCTCCTCCTCCTCCTCAGCCCTCCTTCCCAACTTGCTACGGAAACCCCGAGCAACACAGTGAAATATAGCACTGGTCGTAGTCGAGAATGCACGATCACACCAGGGACGCTGATTGGTAAAAACTGCTTTGCGATAATCAAGACGCTTGCCATGAGCGCGATATTCATGAACACGTAATTGTTTGGCAGTGGGATACGAATGCGTACATCTAGCTCCATCGATACCAAACTTACACTTAAACATATGCTCATAATACGGAGGTAGAGCAGGCAAGGAGGAGCAGGAGAAGGAGGGAGTGAGGGAGGAGGAGGATGAGGAGGAGGAGGAGGAGAAGGACCTCTTAGAACCCCTTCCTGACCTCACAATCTCCTAACAACCTCCTGATGCCTACTCCTCTTTCTTCCCTCCCTCCCTCCCTCCCTCCCTCCCTCCTTTCCTCCCCTCTGCCTCCTTCTGCCGCTGCGGCTTTCCTCATCCTTCTCGTGTTCTTCTTCCTCCTCCTCCTCCTCCTCCTCCTCCTCCTCCTCCTCCTCCTCCTCCTCCTCCCCCTCCCCCTGGATCCCTCCCTGACCCCCCAGGCTCACAAAACCCATGGCCTCCTTGCACTTCCCGTTCCCCGGGCCTCCTTTCCCATCCTTTTCCCTCCCTCTCCCTCCTTATCCATCCTTCTCTCTCCTTCTCCCTCCCTCCCTCTCCACCTCCTCCCCGACCTCCTCGTGGAAGAAGACTGGGAGGCAGGAGGACCAGGAAACGTGGGATCCTCGTACTGGCGTGACACCTCGGCCACCGACTCCTCCGCGACCCGTTCCAGCTCCGAATACCTCTCGGTCGCCTCCTGGAAGGCCGGGAGGCCCCCCGCGGCGGGCGCCCGCGAGGCACCCGTGCCCTGCAAGAAGCGGCCCCCCTCTCCTCCTCCCCCTCCTTTTCCCCTCCTCCTCCTCCTCCTCCTCCTCCTCCTCCTCCTCCTCCTCTTCTATCCCTCCTCCTCCTCCTCCTCCTCCTCCTCCTCCTCCTCTTCCTCCTCCTCCTCCTCCTCCTCCTCCTCCTCCTCCCTCCTCCTCTGGACGAAGGGGGGAAAGGGAAGGGGGCGGATCGGGCCCCGCATCCGCCAGGCGGCGCCAGTCGCGGCCGTCGACGAGCTGGGCGAGTACTGGACCTGTTCCCCGAGGAGAGGTGGGGTGGGGAGGGGTAACGGGGGGGGGAGTGGGGAGGGGGGAGAGGGGGGAACGTGCTACGGCGGGGATAGCATGGTGTTGATATGCTCTCAAGGATGGTGGGCTCGATGACAACGGGCGTCATGCTGGAGCTGGCTCCTCAGCGGCCTCTGCATCGGTCCTTACGCGAAGTCCTCCAGCTCCTCGTCCCTCAGCTCGGCCACGTAGATGTGGAGGTGCGTGGTCCATCTCTTGTACATCTGCGCCATGCCCTTCGACTCGATCCTCATGCGCTTGCTGTAAGGGCCCTTGTAGGCCTGGCAGCGGCTGATGTACAGGCGAGACTTGTCCATGTTGTATGTGTTCTGGGCGTTTGCCGCTGCCGACTGCAGGCACTTGAGGACTGGTTTGCACGTGCGCCACGGCAAGAACTCGAGCAGCATGAGCGCCTCGCGGTAGGACCTGCCGCGGATCTGCCACAGCACGCGGCGGTACTTCTTCGGGCTGCCCTTGAGGAACCTCGCCTTGCAGAGTGCCTGCTGCCTGTCTTCGCCCTCCTCGTCCTCGTCGTACTCGTAGTCGATGTCGTCGTAGTCCTCCTCGAACTCTTCATCGTCGTACTCGTCATCATCTTCTTCATCCACGGTGTCGATGGCCTTGGTATCCTGTTTGGACGCCCGACATGGGTCCGGAGAACATGGGCACTATGCCCAACAACAAATGTTGTCCAACACCGACACCTGTCGCTGTTGGGCAGCCGTCTCCCTATCTCGAGTGGACAGCATCCGGGGGGACACCGACAGCGAGTCCCGTTCAAAATGAACAAGGAATGCTGTCGGCCTTCGTACAAACAACATCGGATAGGCACATCGGATCGACTCGGAAACAGTGTCGGATCGGGCTGCATCCGCACGGAGTCGAAATCGAATCGGATCGCTGCACCAAGATGCACCACAGCACCATGCAGCCTTCGGGCCGCAAAATCGAAATCGAATCGGATCGAGACGACCGACGTCGACATCGGCTCGCATCGATCGGATCCAAATGGGCCATGCCTCGTACCCATTATTTTCGTACTTAGTTTGCATGGGGGCAACGGGTCCTGAGGGACACGGGTCCTGGACCCCGGGACCTTCCCCCAGAACGAGACATCTCCATGTCTTCCGATCGTCCCGGGGCCCGTGGAGGGCCCCCGAGAGAGGCCGAAAACGGTGAAGAGCCCTGAGGACCCGCTCCCCTCGGGACACGGCTCCACCCATGGCCAACTCTTTCCGCACCCATGCCGATCGTTCCGATCCTTGGCCTCCGCGCTCATCCACACCGCCCGCGGCAAAGGCCGCGGGGCGCTCGCCCGGCGGCCTGCCCGCACTCCTCCGACAGCAAGCGCCGCCACGCCGGCCAAGGAGGCCACCAGAGGTTCAGGGCCCCCGAAGCGGGGACTCGGATGACAAACGTTGGGCGCGAGTTAACCCTTTCGGTCCCAAAAGGCCCCCTTTGGGGCTCCAGGAGCCCCTTCAGGGGCCCTGAAGGGCTCCTTTTCGGCAGTCCTCGCTGCCCCCCCATTGATCGCCCCCCCCATCACGCGCCCTCAAACAACGAACATCGGCGGCGAGCCTGGGGTTGACGTGAGAGGGGGAGGCCTTCTCAGACGGCTGGGAAACCCCTGGCCTTCTGACAAGTTGTCCTAGCCCTCCCCGGAGACACAGAAAGCCTCTCAGCAGGCCTGAGCGCTTCTGAGAAACCTCGCCGCCTTCTGAGAGGCTTCTCCTTCTCACTTCCCTCCTTCGCTCGCCGCCGAGAACAGCACACCCATACCCGTAGGGTTTTAAGAAGCAAATCCTGGGAGAGCTTCGTCATAATGATTAAAAGCTATTAAGCCCGATTCGGGGGCCACTGAGCCAGATTAGACCGGATTGAGCTTGGGATGAAGCCAGAGTCAACGGGACTGAGCCAAATTAAGCGGGATAAAGCCGGATTCGGCCAGCTTGCGACCAGTGATATACTAGCGCCGACTCAGAGTTTAACTTCCCAGGAGTTGCATCCTAGATAGAGGGGGTCGGAGGGAGGAGGACTGGCTGTGGGCATGGGTGCGGGTTGTCGGACCAGCCCGGGGAAAGCTCCCGTTCGAGCGGCGACCCCCATCCGCCAACACGTGCCCTCAGCCCGCTCCGTCCCCCCTTTGAGGTATGGACGTGTGTGTGTGTGTGTGCGTGCTGTTCGTTCGTCACCTTGAACAAACCAAGGCACATGGGCGCGCCCGAGAAGGCGGCACCCGTGGTCCCGACACCTTCTCCCTTCTCTGCCCTCTCGAGGCGGGAACTGTTCCGAGTCCTGGTTCATGGACTCTCTCCCGCCGCAACATCCACATGGCTCGACGCAGGTCCTGTCAACTCGCGCGCGCACGCCGCTCGCACCACGAAGCACGTGACACACATCGCCAACACACATCCACGACCCCAATCCTCCGCAAGCCGAAGCAGATCCGCAACCCCAATCATCCGCAACCTGAGTCGTCCGCAACCCTGCCAATCAAACCCGCAACTCTGGATTGCAAAAAAAAAACCCAGGATTGCAACAAAAACCAAAGAATGGCAAAAAAACGAAGAATTGCAAAAAACCTAAGAGGTTTTTTTTTGCAATCCTGGTTTTTTTTTGCAATCTCCCGCATGGTAATGCTTCGGGCTGCCTGGAACCGCCCCTGACTACACCGGGGGCCTGCGGAGGCCAGCTGGGGCGGGCCATCTGTGCGCAACCCAAAACCTGATACCACCTCCACAATCCTCCTCCTCCTCCTCCTCCTCCTCCTCCTCCTCCTCCTCCTACTACTACTACTACTACTACTACTACTACCACTACTACTACTACTACTACTACTACTACTACTACTACTACTGACGACGACGACGACGACGACGACGACGACGACGACGACGACGACGACGACGACGACGACGACGACGACGACGACGACGACTACTACTACTACTACTACTGCTATTACCCCTACTACGACAACAACAACGCCGACGACAACGATAACCCAAACCATCCACAACCCAAGTCTCAAACCCACAACGTCCGTCATGACGTGTTTACACCGTGGACCCCAGAGGTCTCGACCCGTTCTCTGGGGCCCGATTCTCACCCCGAATAGTCTTGAGACGGCCTCAAGGCCCAGTAGGAGCCACCAGAAGTTGAAACGAGCGAAAAGCAGCCCGTCGTGAGCTGGACGAGGCGACGCGGACAAAACACAAACACAGTGCAGCTGGATAACGGGATACGAAAAAAAACACAGTGCAAGCCGGGGTAGAAACGAATGATTGTTAACGCCACGCAGGGCAGCTGCAATTTGTAAGTCCCCGGGGCCATCTTTGCCTCACACCAAGGGGCCCTGGACATCCAGGCGCGCTTGCTTCGGCAAGCAGCTTGCCGCGAGGTCCGGAGCTCCTTGGGCGGCGTCTCCCCCACCGCAATGCGCTGACCACCTCGACCTCGGTGGTTCAAGGATGGGGTCCTGAGAGATGGGGTCCTGTGGACGAGGTGCCTCAAGTAATGTAAATCCACCCTTGGATCCCTTCCCATCCTTGGGACACCATCCCTCAGGACCCCATCCTTGAACCACCGACGACTGTCAGATCATTGCTCTGCCTGCTCCGGCGAGGCTCTCGGCTGGCAGCCTGGCATACAGGCTGCAACTGCTTTGACTCGCCATCGCTCGGACGTCCTCTCCTCGCGCACTTTTCGGTCTCGTGCGTGCCTTTCTTCGCACGATGACCCCCAGCATGCCCCTCGATGGCTCTTGCTTGGAGTGCCATGTCGGAGCTGCTCTAGAACAGGAACGTGCCGTAGATGGATATATCCTTTCTCCAACCATGCACCGCGCCAAACGCAACGGCCAGTCCATAGACGTATCCACCCTCAAAATGGGGACGTCACGGCACCCAATGTGTCCATAGACGCTTTCGGCTTGGACGTGAGAACGGTATTTGGCACCGGCCCCAGATGGTGGCCCTCTAGGGGCAGGCAGGCTTGGCCCTCCAGGCTCCTGCCCAGGGAAGGCGCACACACCCGAGCGATGCCAAGTTGAGATCTCTATCCTGCCTCGGCCATGACCCGAAGGCGTCGTGGGCTCCGTTCGGAAGCCGGGCAAGGGCTGCTAAATCCGTGGCTGCTAAAATTGACCTCCGGGAAATTGTCTTCGTCCTTCGGGGAAGAAGCCCGTTGACTGTTTCGCGTGCCGCGCCTCGCTCCGGGAAGTTGTCTTTTCCTTCCGGGAGGGCCGTGTTAGCAGCCACGGCTTTAGCAGCCCTCGCCCTCCAGGCTTGGCCTCCAGGCCTGGCCCTCCAGAAGCAGGCAGGCTTGGCCCTCCGGGCTCCTGCCTCGGGAGAAAGCGCACACGCCCGAGCGATGCTGAAGGGGCCCCAGGACACACAAACAAATACACACTAATAAAAATACGCCCCATACTTTCCCATATTTTCTGGGTATGTATCTGTCTTCCCCCCCCCTTCCCATATTTTCATATTTTTTTCTGAGGAATCGAGGATTACTTGCGTCTGTGTGTTTTTTCCTCTCCTGAGATGCCACGTTGAGATTTCCGTCCTGTCTCGGCCCTGGCCCGAGAGGGCGCCGTGGGCTCCGTGCCGCCGCCTCGGGGGCCCCGCGAGGCCCCAGGCCGCCCGGCGCCGCGCGGGGCGGCGGCGGCCGCGCCGCCGCCGCGCGGCTCGGGGCGCGGCCCGCGCGCAGGGCTCCCGCCGGCGACCGGGCCCCGGCGGCCGCTGGCCGGCGGCGCGCCCAGGGGGGGGGGTCGTTGCTCGCTGCCCCTCCCTCCCTCCTCTCCCTCTACAATTACTCGATATGAATATACTCTCCCTCTTCCCCTGATGGCGTCCGGGTGATGGCCGCGCACTCTCCGCGTACTGTTTTTTACACACAGGATGCCCGGAAAATCCCGGGAAACGACTCTCGCTGAGGCGCCGACGTCATTTTTTCCCAAAATGCTGCTCTCGTTGAGGCGCCGGCCTCATTTCTGCTCCCGAATCGTTCCGAATCGTGCTCCCGCTGCAGCGTGGGCCTCATTTTCGGATCCGTGTTTGGCCTCCGTCGTTCAGGATGGCGTTCTCGCCCCAGCGCGGGCCTTTTTCTCGCGCGCCCATCCGCCCGCCACCACCGCGCCGCACCGCCACCACCACCACCACCACCACCACCACCACCACCACCACCACCACCACCACCAGCACCAGCACCAGTACCACCACCACCACCACCACACCACACCACCACCACCACACCACCACCACCACCACCACCACACCACCACCACCACCACCACCACCACCACGACAACCACGCACACACGCACGCACGCACGCACGTGCACCACCACCCACTACGCACGCGCGCGCGGAGCCACAGGTCCGCCACGACACGCGTCCGCGGATGGAGAAAATCAGCGCCATGGTAAGGGATGGGAGGGAGGAGTAGGACGTCAGATATGACGCGAGCGCACCTAGCTTGCCCTCCTCCCCTCCCCTCCCTCCGCCTCCCCTCCCTCCTCCCTCCCTCCTCTGCCCCTCCCTCCATCCTCTCCTCCTCCCTCCTCCTCGAGGGGCCGCGAGGGCAGTATCCACAGAGGCCTCCCAGACGGGGTCTGGGCGGATGGGGTCGGAGGATCGCGCCGCATCGCCGATGCATCGCCGATGCATCGGCGACGCGGCGGCGATGCGTCGGCGATGCATCGACACCATCGGCGTGCCCCACATGGAGCCGCATCGTCGATTCACCGGCGATGCGAAGCGATCGTCCGACCCCATCCACTCCGACCCCATCTGGGAGGCCTACGGAGAGGGGGCGGCAGGATCAGTCAGCCTCGAACCCAGGCCCCTTCGGGTCATGAGCAAAAATCACGACGGGGGGTGTTGGGCAACTTTCGGCCTCCAAGGGCCTGGTCGGGACGTCTAGGGGGTCCACATCATGGAAAAACTCAATCGGGAAGTCGCATCGAATCGGAATGTGCGTCGGATCGGGCCGCATCGATCTGGAGTCGAAGTCGAATCGAACCGGCTGCACCAGCATGCACAACAGCGCCAAGCGGCGGGCCGGAGAAGGAGAAGGAGGAGGAGGAATCGAAGGAGGCGGAAGATGATGATGATGATGATGATGATGATGATGATGATGATGATGATGATGATGATGATGATGATGATGATGATGATGATGATGATGATGATGGATGATGATGACGGTGATGATGTTGATGATGATGATGGTGATGACGATGCTGATGATGATGATGACGATGATGATGATGATGAT